AAAACGGGCATAAGACATGAACACACACTTCACCAAAGAGGATATTTAGGCAGCCAACAAACATATGAAGAAATGCTCACAATCTTTAGCCATTAGAGAGATGCAAATCAAAACAACAATGAGATACCATCTTGCTCCAGCACAAGTAGCAAAGTTTAACAAGACAGAAAATAACAAATGCTGGTGAGGATGTGGAGAGATTGGGACTCTCATATACTGCTGGTGGGACTGTCAAATGATACAACCACTGTGGAAAGCAGTATGGCAATTTCTTAAAAAGTTGGAATTAGAAATACCATTTGACCCAGCCATTCCATTACTAGGTAGATATCCTAAAGAAGTGAGAGCCAGACAAGAACAGAAATATGGACACCCATGTTCATCGCAGCACTATTTACAATAGCCAAAAGATGGAGACAACCTAGGTGTCCATCAGCTGAGGAATGGATAACCAAACTGTGGTACATACACACAATGGAATACTATGCAACCCTGAAGAATAACGTAGAATCTGCAAAACACCGCATAACGTGGATGAACTTGGAGGCATTGTGCTGAGTGAATTACGTCAATCACAGAAGGACAAATATTGTATTAGTCTGTTAATGTAAAAGCCAAGGAAAGGTTTATAAATGAAAGGAAACTTTGTTGGTTAGCAGGGGTGGGAGGGGAGGGAACACTACCAGACAGACAGAGACAAGCACTGATTTGAGTGAAGGGAAGGGCAATGCAGCAAATGTGAGTGATCACCACGGTGGGATTGAGGAAGAGGAAGACATAGAGAGGTGCGTGGGAGGTACAAATATGAGCCCTTCTGCACATACAGTACTGCATTGTCAGTGAAGGCAAACATGGCTATATGGGTGGCTAGATGGGTGGACAGGCTGAGCTATCAGGTCTGTCTATGCCGGGGGGAGTGTGCCCATGACCATGTATAGGGTTGGCAGATGATGTTTCTACAAGCGTGTTCTTATGTTCTGTGAGAATGTCCAGGTATATACTAGAGATGACAAGGGACAAGGGGCACTATGTCACTGCTTGGCCACAGCCAGCTACCCGGAGGGAGTGAGCAGTTGGACCTGTTGGCATGGGATCATGGTCGCAGGGGACATCAAGCTCAACTGGTATAACACACAACACAAAAACACTGTTCTACATCCTACTTTCGCGAGTAGCAACTGGGATCTTAAAAGCTTGCACACAGCCATCTAGATGCAACGATGGGTCTCTCCTCATCCAGAGCAAAGAAGAATGAAGAAAACCAAAGAAGCATGGAAACAATTAGTCCAAGCGACTGGTATATATGAGATCCTCAGCCTATACGACTGTGAGACCAGAAGAACTAGATGGTGCCCAGCTGCCACTGTCAACCACTCAGAGGGGGATCTATGGAGGAGATCCTGGATAGAGAGGGAG